TACAGAGTCAGCATATTGCCCACAACAATCTAAGCCATTCAGAATCGAACTGCTGAACTGCAGGCAGCCTGCAGACAGCAGAAGTAGCCTGCAGTACTGCATTCTAGCCACTGTGCTACCATGTAATTATATTTATCTATCAATCATTTTTATATAAAGCTGCCCATCTCACAGAATATCTTTATATGGCTCTAAGCAGCCATATAAATATTAATTTGTATAAAGTCATCTTATCTTTCCTCAAAGAGTCAAGATCATCTTGCAGGATAGGAATTTATAACCACAGAATTTGTAAAATAAATATGTGAAACAAAGCTGTCCATCAAAAGTATCAAAAACTTCCCCAGTGTCTCAGAGAACTTTGACAATTTATGTGGCCATTCTCCTTTTTAACAAAAAACCTCATGAAAGTCTAGCTTTTATTTTGTAACATTCTTGATAAAGGATTTGTTCAAAACACACAACATTGGACTAAAAAGTGAAATTCCTATTGGCACATAAAATATCATTTCCTTTCCAGCCCACTTTTTTTTTATTTGCAGACTCGATGATCTTTTTACTTCGAAAGCAAGGAAAACCTGTTTGCTTCAATTTCTTGAACAGAAATGGACCTGACAAATAATCACTTAATAAGCGTTAACGTACCTATTAATCTGGGGGGAAAATTCATATTAGATCTTCATTAAAATAAATAGTAAATGTTGACATTTCATGTTCCCATTAATTTAAAACTACAGGTGTAGATGGGGAAATCAGAAGGGGAAACTGGTGTTACATGAAAGGTGCAGCTTGTGATTTCTTAGCATGTGCTGATCGGGTTTTATTGATACAGAATTGCTCACTCTTTCATCAATCTGATAAAACCAATGAGTTGGATTATCTGTATGGGAAAGGTCACATAAAAACGAAATAGGCAGGCTATACAAACTGCATGAATAAATTAATCATCAACCTGAAAGATGTAAAGAGGACAACTTTAAATTCAGGGCACTCTCCTATTCCAAAACTAGATTATACATAAAAGAAAAAGGATATAAGCACACACAAAACAGATTACAGACATTTGGGCGCAGCAAGCATCTTTCCTCTGTAGTAAGAACCACTGGATTAAGTGTTTTTTTTAATTTGTTGAATAAATACGCATAGGTTTTTGCCCTACTGGTGATGGATCAATTTAGCAATCTAGTAAGCTGCAGTGGAAACAGTGGAAAAAGGCCATGAAGCAAGTTTTCTTTTCTCTTTGTAAAAAAGAAACAAGTCAATAGAGGTTATTGTGATGGGCTGCAAGCACAAGGAAACTATGCATGCTTACTCTGTAGCACATCCAATTAAATTCAGGGGCTCATGCCTCCAGATAATATGCTTAGACTTCTAGTTCAGTTTGTATACTAAACTTGTTGTGTGCTTATTTCCTTCCCTTCATAGACAATGAACATCTGCAATGGAATTTCTCCATTTGTGGGAAATTTCACACAAAGTGGAAGTCCTGATTTTTCTGTATTATGTGTGGGTAATTTACAATTAAATTCACAGTCTGAGACTGGAGGAAACATAATAATTCAAGTCTTAAGGAAGAACCTAGGAATTATTAAGGCAGCATCGAAAAGTATAGGCAGTTCCAAAAAGGGTACTTTAAAAAAAAAACTAATTAGGGTGTTCAGTTCTGATAACTTCAATATTTCTGGATATCAAAGAAGTCATTTAGGTATCTCTCCAAAGACTCTAATCACATTTGGTATAACAATGAATTTCATTTTCATAAGTATTTAACTTTGATCTGCAATTCTCAGTATTTCATAATTTTTTCAATTGTTTTTCCTTGATCCTAACTTCACCCAGAAAAGCAACATCAATAAACCAGATTTTTTTTCTCCTTTTTAATAACCGGCATGTTCTATCAATATCAGGCATGTTTTAAATAAGATGTCTTTCTATTTGGATTTTAAAGTCGTGTAACATCTTAACCCGCTCATTTTCCAAAACCTTCTCAGCTTGAGAAGGAAAGCTGTGGTGGCACAGTGGTTAGAATGCAGTACTGCAGGCTAACTCACTGCTCACTCCAGGAGTTCGATTCTGAGTGGCTCAAGGTTGACTCAGCCATCCATCCTTCTGAGGTCAATAAAATGAGGACCCAGATTGTTGGGTACACCATGCAAACTCTGTAAACCGCTGAGAGAGGGCTGTAGAGCACTATGAAGCAGCATGTAAATGCTATTGCTATTGATGGTCCCAAAGTTTTATTCTAATGAAAAAAAATTGGCAACTCGGTCATGAAGCTCCTTGTAGTCAGTCTGTGAAATTTTGCTCTAGCCAATCAACTTGTGAGTTGTTTCATTCTTTTTGTTACAAAGGTAACATTTGCTGTTGTTTGTTACATGTTGAATTTTCACCTTCATGCAATTAGTTTGCAAAGCTTGTTCCTAAGCCACTAAAATAAAGCCTTCCATTTCTTTCTTTAAATCTCCTGATTGTAAACCAACTCCATGTGCGTTTTTATCAGCTTTTTCTTCCATAACATTCAAGTATTGACACTATCCTTTGTTCACAACAATGTTAAGTCACAGGATTCTAGATCAGCATCTTTACCACTACATCTAATTGCTCTATACAGAGAACCTCCATGGATAGAGGAGGTCTACTGCAAACATTCACCTACCAAATGTGTGTGTGTGGGGGGGGGGGGCGGGAGGAATCAAAGAAGTCTGATCTATCATGTTCATCCTGCTCCTCCTTGAAATAATGGAGCAGAACTCCATAATTTGTTCCATTTCAAGCTGGTTTTTTCTTTATTAGTATATTTTGAACTATGTGATATGATATGACAACTGAACCCTATGTAAAGGGGTGTAGGTTACTAAAACAAAGTATATAGATTTCCTTCACTTCTTTAAATATTATTTGCATTTTATTACCATACCAGAAAATCATGAAAGAAAAAGCCACATTATAATCCTCCTAATTATTTCACCTTTGATCTCTTACTATCACTATCCCCTTGTCTTCACCCATAATGCACAATAAATATGCATTGTTTTCTTTTGAATTAATTTATGGAAAACTCTTCACGTTTTCCTTGACTCCCCCAGCAAAATTTCATTTTCGCTATTTTTCTGGCCCAAATTAATTTGCAACTCCAAAATGTATAGGCCAAATCCATATGATATCATTAAAAATTATTAGAAAAGAATTTGTGTAAACATAAAGGAACCTAGAGAAGCAGATTAAGGACATCAAACAAAGAAAATACATCAGGCAATTTATTTAATAGCTGGCTTCCTTAGTGGCAGCAAACCACAACTACAGAAATATGCCAAGCCAAAATAATGGAATCATTTTTTTAAAGTACTATACTACCACAACCAGGGGAAAGATCAAAAATTATTTCCATCAGGGAGTCTCTCCATGAACCAAGCATTCATGAAGATTTTTTTTAAAGCAGAGACATTCTCATAACCTAGAAACATACTTTCCAGCCACACACAAAGCTGAAACGGCTTAACCTTACAGCCAATATCTGATTAAAAACTACTATAAAAAGTCACACTCTCTTATAGCTAAGAGCATACTCAAAAGTGTTATAGAGCTGGTTCAATCCACTTTGCACTGCACTGAAACATTGCTCCAAGTTAAACAGTCACGATCAATACAGCTAAAATAAGGGCAAAGAACTCATGTTTTCTTTTCTTGTTTCAACTCAGCTTCTAGGTCACTTGAAAAGAAACCTCTTCACTGAGACCTCTATTGCTGCACTTGTGCATTTTAGCCCAAGCTACTCTATCTATCTAGTACAGAATATTTTCCCTGGAATCAGTGGCAAGGATAAGGCCACACTGTTGATAATAATAGGAATAAATAATAATCATGAGAACAGCAATGGCAATACTGACAACGCAATAAAAATAGCATATGAAATAGCCTAAAAAAAGATCCCTTCCCAAATCTAAAATAAAAAGGGAAGTTGCCTACTTTGTCTATTTCTCTTGAGTAGTCAATGAAACTGGTTGTTGCCTAATTTAGATCATACTCTGTATAAACATCTTGAGTACTTATATGGCTATAAGCTTAGGTTTGTCCCTAAGTGCTACAGGTCATCCTCATTTAGTGATTGCCTCAGACAGCGATCATTCAGTTACGATGATGATGAAAAAGTAACTTTGCAATCAATGCCCACATTTACGACCCTCACAGCATCTTGTTCTCAGTCATATATTCACCATTAGTTAGTGAGTATGTTTTGTCCTCTGTCTAAAAAACTGTAAGCACAATTACAGTCATGTGATTTTTCTTCACTTACCAATCATTTCATTTAACTAGTACACCGCTGGTCTCAATTGCAGTTGTAAAACAAGTACAGTTGCCTGTACTTACTGTTGTGTGTGATTCTGCTTTAGCAATTAAGAGAAGAATGATCAGTGCTTAATAACAGATCAAAAGCAGCAATTAAAGGGCCTATATATTCTCTTCTCAAAATGCTGTTTATACTGTATTATGCCAACATAAATGAACCAATGAACAGTCACCCGTCGAGGGAGTCCAAACAGGAAATTAAAAACAGCAACAATCATGAGTATTAATTTTATCTTGATTGTTGAGATTACAGTAACAAACTATGGCAAGTCTGAGAGCATTTCTTTCCTCCTTTGACTTTACTGTCTGGGAAAGTACCTTTTGAGATCCTTTCTCCATCTCCATTCCTTCCGTGGTCTGTCTCTTGACTGATCATTGCCTGGCTGAGGCTCTTCCACTTGTCTCCTAAGGCTATTCTTACAAGCTAACTTGATCTAAAGCCGTTTTTGGGGTTCCTAACCTTTTTCCTAAAAAGATCAACCAAAACTTCTAAATTTGTAATGGGTTTTTAAGTAATAAGTTAACAAAGACAGGAATATTTCAAATGTCACTATTGTAAGACAAATATGCATTGCTGTAAGACAAATATTATAAGACAAATTGCAGACAAATAGTCAACAGAAATTGACTACTGCTTATGATTCTTTTTTTACCTGCTGAGCTAAGCAGTACACTGAAGTCTGTCCCACGCTGAGATTCACCACTGTCATTTTGTGTTTCTTTCTCACTTTCTTCATAACGGTGCCAGTTGGAGACTAGCTTTCTTCTTGAATAACTTCCCCAATCTTCTTTGCCCATTTCTGGTAAGTCAAGTCCAGCAGTAGCCTATAGCATATATCAGAAAAATGATTAAATAACTATGATCAGCTTTTGCTTTTATTCCAGTTTCCAAGAAAAATTAAACAGCAGTCTTGTCAATTTTCCAACAATATTTTATGCAGTAATATCTTTATTATCAACTCAGATTTGGCAATTGGATCTATATTTTGGCTAGGACACAATGCATGATGGCAGAAACATTCCAATTTCTGTTTTTATTTTATTCTGTTTTTATTTTTACTTCAGAATTGGATGGTAACCATTATTTTTAATAATTTAATTTAAAATTAATGATTTTAATATTTTAACATTAATATTTCTATTTCAGAAAAATATTCATCTTAGAATAGAATAGAATTCATCTTATCTCTTTAAGATTTAATATTTACATTATCAGATTTCTATTCAATTACAAAGGATTACAATCAGAGCAAAGAGGAATAGTTAATCTGTGTTAAATGAATCAGGGCAAAACAATAGACGCAATCTACATAGACTTCTGTAAAACCTTTGATTCAGTGGTACACGACAAACTACTCCTAAAACTAAAATCTTATGGTATCTCTGGACACCTGCATTACTGGATAAAAGCATTCCTGTCAAACACACAACAAATGGTCAAAATTGGGAGCGTCCTATCAAATTCTGTACCTGTCAACAATGGCAGTGTTCTAGGACCCACTCTCTTCATACTCTACCTAAATGACCTCTGTGGTCATATTAAGAGCAACTGCATTCTCTTCACTGACGATGTAAAGCTATTCAATACCACAGACAATACTGCTATCCTTCAAAAATACCTTGACTATGTATCAGAATGGTCAAACAAATGGCAACTTCAAATCTCAACAAATAAATGCCTTGTCTTACATATTGGCAAAAAAAATCAGAAAATAAAATACAGTCTGAATAGTCAAGACCTTGTTGATGATCCAAACACTGTCAAGGATCTTGGAGTACTCATCTCTAATGATCTAAGTGCTAGAGCCCACTGTAACTACATAGCCAAAAAGGCGTTAAGAGTTGTTAACCTAATCTTACGTAGCTTTTTCTTTGGTAATATTACTCTAATACACTCCTCTACTCGTTGCAGAATACCTTATGCCACCAGACTTGAAATTCTAGACCTAGAAAACCTAGAACTACGCCGCCCGGTCTGATCGAAGTATAGTATAGAAAATCATGCATTTCAATGTCCTACCTGTCAATGAATACTTCAGCTTCAACCATAACAACACAAGAGCAAACAATAGATACAAACTCAAGGTTAATTGCACCAAACTTGATTGCAGGAAATACGACTTCAGCAACAGAGTGGTCAATGTCTGGAATACTCTACGTGACTCTGTGGTTTCTTCCCCAAACCCCAAGAACTTTAACCTTAGACTGTCTATTATTGATCTCACCCCTTTCCTAAGAGGTCTTTAGGGGGCGTGCATAAGCGCACCAACGTGCCTACCGTCCCTGTCCTATTGTTTCTTTTATTTTTTTTATTTTTCTTATATGTATACATGTATTCATAACTATGTTTTTACTTATACCTATTATCTTCTAAGCAATTGATAAAAATAAATAAATAAAAATAAAATAAAAAAATAAATAGAATTCGAACTACAAGGCTTCACAGTAAATAAAACTATTAAAGGTGAAAGATCATTAAAAAGAAGCAGAGTTCCTGATTAAGAAATACTTTTTTACCATTCAACATGACAGGTTACAACAGTGTTCCTCAACTGACCTGTGTGAAGATGTGTGGGCCTCCACTCCCAGAATACTCCAGCCAATAAACAGAATTCTAGGTGTTGAAATCCATATAATTTAAGGTCTATTTAAGACTTTTAGTCATCAACAATCAGAATTTAAAAATTCAGTTATCTGAATGATAAAAGGAAAATGTGGCACACATTTGTTTAAAAATATCACTCTATGTAACAGACATAACATCCTCCATGCAGCACTTGTGGGAAGTCTCATTTAAGCTTTTTTATACATATTATACTCATTATATTGCTCACCTTCTGGATAACCAACATAATGCAAAGTATGGAACAGGAATAAGAAATTATGAGCCAAAGATATTAAAGACATAAAATAAGAAAAGAACAAAAGAAAATATTGCTTGTTTTAATTTATACTAGAATCATTATACTATACTGTACTGTACTATACTATACTGTGAGTGTGTGCGTGCGTGTGTGTGTGTGTGTACTGTACACCCCCTCACATTTTGTAAATATTTAAGTATATCTTTTCATGTAACAACACTGAAGAAATGATGTTTGGCTACAATGTAAAGTAGACAGTGTAAATATGCTTGTCCCCTCAAAATAACGCAACACACAGCCATTAATGTCTAAACTCCACTCCTCTACTCGTTGCAGAATACCTTATGCCACCTGACTTGAAATTCTAGACCTAGAAAACCTAGAACTACGATCTAAGTATAATATATAAAATCATATATATTATACTTCGGTCCGATCTAAGTATAATATATAAAATCATACACTGCAATGTCCTGTCAATGAATACTTCAGCTTCAACCATAACAATACAAGAGCACACAATAGATACAAACTCAAGGTTAATCGCACCAAGCTTGATTGCAGGAAATATGACTTCAGCAACAGAGTGGTCAATGTCTGGAATATTCTACCTGACCCTGTGGTTTCTTCCCCAAACCCCAAAAACTTTAACCTCAGACTGTCTACTATTGACCTCACCCCTTTCCTAAGAGGTCTGTACGGGGCGTGTATAAGTGCACCAACGTGCCTACCGTCCCTGTCCTATTGTTTCTTTTATTTTTTTATTTTTCTTATATGTATCCATGTATTCATAACTATGTTTTTACTTATACCTATTATCTTGTAAGCAATTGACAAACCAAATAAATAAATATAAATAAATAAATAAATAAACTACTGGCAACAAAAGTGAGTACACCCTAAGTGATAATGTCCAAATGGGGCCCAAAGTGCCAATAGTTTGTGTGACCACCATTATTTTCCAGCACTGCACCTTAACCCTCTTGGGCATAGAGTTCACCAGAGCTTTTCAGGTTGCCACTGGAGTCCTGTTCCACTCCTCCATGACGACGACACAGAGCTGGTGGATGTTAGAGACCTTTTGTGCACAATAATTTTTAACTATTTTGTGTCATTTTCTATGCATTTTATTATCTTCTACCTCTTTTCAGAGAAACCATTTCATTGAATTAAATAAACATGTATAGGACAGCAATATACTACCCTAGTATATTGGAAAGAAATCCAAGGATTATGTTTCAATCATTATTTAAATTATTTATTGGAATTTCAAAATCCATTATAATAAATCATGCAATGTGTCCTTAAATCACATCAGAGGAGATTACCAGTACCAGCATTTTGTGTTTTGTGTTCAATGCTGCAATCTTTTGAATGAACATTCCAGGGTTGTCCTAGCAACCATATGGTTCTACCTACAATCCCATCTTCACAAGAAGATTAAATCAAAACAAGGCTTTCTGCATTAAAGAACAGCAGAAACAATCTTTATTAATTAAAAAAAACCAAGCATTCTCCCATTCCATTTTTTCATTATTTCTAAATGAAATAAACAATTATAGGCTCAAGTAATTGTTAATGTAAATGGTGAAAGTTAATTCCGCAGATGCATTATTAAACTCTGCTGTGATTGACTATACCAAATGCTTACAATCTTAATATTCATGCATATTTCAGAAACAGATTGGAAAATATTGTGTTCATACTTCAATAAATTAAAATTTCAACTTTATTTTCAATATATCAGTGCTCGGAATAAAATCTGCTTTCACTGATGTAGAAGTTATCAAAGGACAAAGAACTAAAATATCATGTATTCCAACTGTTCTTGCTTGCCTGCTGCTTTCATTGTTAGCTCTTTTCACTTTAAATAAACATGCTTTAAAAATCATGACAACTGAAGCCACCAACTAATTACAGATTGGAGTCTTTATGATTTTCACAAAATATTTATATAAGGTCAGCTATAAAATGTAACAAAACACTTTTCCTAGCAGCCTGAGGATAACATCCGAATGAATTCCAAGTTTAGCTTTGCATACGTCACACAAATATTTAGTTTCTTTTGGATGAGAGAACACTGGGGATTTATGATATTTATGCAATGTTTGTAGTATTTCTGGGTAAGCAGAATTTATCCAGAACTTATTCAAGTAAGGAAAGGGATCTGCAGCAGGCAACAAGTATAAAGGACCACGCTCTGCTTTTCCTAACTCTAACTAAACCCCTAAATTCTTGTCAGAATTCAAATTACAAAATTCCTTTCCTCATACATCTGTCATGCAGAGCACTAATTTCACACTACTTTACAAAGATCACCTAATTTATTCCTGTAAATAAACACAATGCACATTCACTATATATCATTATCAGTATCTGTCATGTTCCCAACAACGTGCCAAGTAACACTTCAATAAAAATCAATGTGATGTATGCATTTCAAGACAACCAAATTTATTGCCTAATCCCTATTTTTAAATTTGTTTAGGCTGCCATACTGAGGACTGGCTTTAAAGATAATGTGATCTTTCAAACCAACAATTCAAGTCTCATACACTTGTTTCCTTACAAGATGAGAACTACCGTGTTTCTCATATAATAAGGCCGGGTCTTATTTTTTTTTTGAGCCCCGAAAAAATGGCTAGGCCGTCTTTTCAAGGGTGACTTAATTCCCCCCCCTTGCATCTTTGGGCGGGCGGCGATGGCTTGGATGTTGACCTCGGCGTTGGTGAGGCACTTAGTATCGGGGTCAACGCAGGCAGCACCATATCCAGGTGTGCAACAAAAGTACTTCCTAACGGCAAGCCCCCCCACCATTTCCCCCATTTCACATGTTTTAATATAGACCGTAATTTGGGGGGAGGGGCTTAATTTCATTTCATGCCTATAAAACATGCTGGGACTTCCTATTGGGGGAGGCCATATTGTTGGAGAAACAGGGTATTATGGGAAAGATGTGGT